TAAAAGCTATAAAGAAATGAAATTCATTTGGACATACTGCAGTGAGATTATAAATTTGGTTTTATCAAGAAAGTATTAAAGAAGTATGTTACAAATAATCTCATGTGGTTGAGGAAAACAAAGAGAATAAAGCTTTGGTGTAAAAAAAAAAGTAAGTTATAATTTCTCTGCATTGTAGTTACCACACTTTGGGAATTTAAGGAATTATGTATCCTATGTTTTTCATGTATACAAAATTGTAACAAACAGCTTTTTACACATTCTTTTTTAAAAAATTCTTTTTCTTATGTTAAGTAGGCTCCATGCCCAACATAGGACTTGAACTCACAACCCTGAGATCAACAGCTGTACACTCCATCAACTGAGCCAGGTGATGGCCCTATGCTCTCTTGAAATTGAAATGAAAAACATATTTACAGCTGGGAATGTGTAGTCCAGGTAGATATCAGAAAGAAATGGATTCTTCTTCTTCTTTTAAGAATTTATTTGGAGTTCAGGATGCCCCCTGGGCTGAATTAAAACTCAGGAGTCAATCTTTAGAGCCTAAGCATAAATTTCTAACTATTTCCAGAGATGGTGTTAAAAGTCATAGCATGCACCTAATTTTGAATAGGGAATGTGGGTGGAAAGAGTAGGCAGAGCTTTTCAATAAGACTTAATTGTCCTTAACCTGTGAATACATAATTACATAATTTGTTTTGACGAACTTTCATTTTTAGACTTCTATGGTGGGGCTCATTAATTCTTCATAGTGATGTGAAAAATAGTATATAATTCTCTTTTTTATTACTCTAAATCATGATCTCCTAAATATATGCTAATTTCTTAGCCTGATTATTAATAAATCATCTCTACTGGTACATTATGCAAATTTGAAATCAAAATGTCATGAACAAAAACACTTAAAATGCTACAGCAGTACAATTATTTAAAGAGAGAATACCAATAAAATATTAATAAAGTTTTACCTATATGGATAGAGAAAAAATAAACGAAAATGTTTAGTGTTCTTGCTTTTTTAATTAAAAATTTTTTTATTTTGAAAGAGAGAAAGAGCATGTGGGGAGGGGCAGAAAGAGACAGAGAGAATTCCAAGTAGGTTCTGCGTAGTCAGTACAGAGCAAGATGCAGGGCCCTATCTCATGAACCATGAAACTGTGACCTGAGCTGAAATCGAGAGTCAGATGCTTAATGGACTGAGCGACCCAGGTGCCCCTACTGTTTCTGCTTTTAAGGGTATAATACCAGAGGGAGATAATAATACAAACAGGAAAAATACTTCATCTGATGAGGTCTGTTTAATAGTAAGTATAAAGTGAGAATCTGATTAGACTTATTCTGATGTTAGGAATGTGTAATAGCTATTTTTTCTTTAAAAAATATTATTAAATAATTTTAACAATTCTGTTTTGCATAGTTGGTGGTTTTTAGACTCATGCAAATATTTACCACTTTCAATACTCTTCCTTCAGTCTTAAGTCCAGATCTTTTTGGGGGGTATCATTTTATTTTTATCTGAAGAGAGAAATTTCTTTAGACTTTCCATTAGTGAGAATCACTATTAGCAGCAAACTCTGCTTTTTCTGACCTGAAAATGCCTTTGTTTTGGTCCCCCTTTTTTTTTGGGGGGGGGTGAGGAGAAAGGGCAGAGGGAGAAGGGAGAGAATCTTAAGCAGGCGCCACATCCAGCCCTGAGCCCAACCTGGGGCTGGATTTCATGACGCAGGGTTCAATCTCATGACCATGAGATCATGACTGGAGCCAAAGTCAAGAGTCTGATGCTTAACCAACTGAGTCACCCTGGCACCCCTGGCCTCTTTCTTAAAAGATCTCTTCAAAGGGGTTTTATTTTAGCCAACTGAAAGTGTCATTCCAGGGTCTTCTGATTCTATTGTTACTGATGAAAGTCAATTACCAGACACTTTGAAAATAATCTATTTTTCCCCACTGCTTTTTAAGTTTTCTTTTCTTTTCTTTTTGGTGTTCTATAGTTAAACTATGATATATATAAGTGTAGATTTATTATTCTTTGATTTGCTTGGGATTTGGGGGACTTCCTAAATCTGTGAGTTGGAATCTTTCATCAGTTCTGGAAAGGCTTCAACCATTATCATGTCAAATATTGCTTCTGCCACACTTTTTCTTTCCTATTCTTTTGGAGTACCGATTTATTTTAGACTTTCTCACAATGTCTCCCCTGTCACATAAAGTCTCTATTATATTTTTCATTTCTTTTTCTTTTTCAATTGCATTTGGGCAACTTCTTCATGTCTATCTCCCAGTTCACTAAATTGTACTTCTGCTACGTCAAATAGACTATTAAATGTGTCCACTGAATTTTAAATTTTAATAACTTGTATTTTTTAGTTCTTTAAGTTCTACTTAAAAATATCTTTGGCTACTCTTTACACTTTCTTGTTTTGTGTACACATTTTCAAGGTTATCTTTTATTCTCTTATTCATATTTTATATAGTTATTTTATAGTCTGTGCCTGGTAATTTCACTTTCTGAAGTCCTTTTGAATATGTTTTTGCTCTCTTATATTCACTATTTCTCACTAATGGTGTCTTATTTTCTTCTGTGCTTGTTATTTTTTAAAATGTGAGGTGCTTATTTTCCTAAGATTTTTACTTATTATTCTTTAAGGCTTAAGATAAAGACAGGTTCTTCCAGAGAGGACCGGCATTTGTTTCTGCTGGATGTCTGAGAGTACTATCAGTCAAACATCCTTCTCAATTATCAGCTGAATACCTTCTGGGATCACCCAGGTAATGTGAATTCAAGTTATATTTTGTGTATGTGTGAGAGAGCTAGATTCTAAGTCTAAATTCTCAGATATGATTATGCTTTTCCCCTCTCCACCACATGCCGACAGTTAAGACAGTTAATTTTCTTTGTAGAATATTGGAGAGAGGTGTACAGCTACTAACGTGTAAGTTTATTTCTAATACATCTTTATAGTAAATGAATGATCCTGGGAACTGCAGCTTTCTGTGTGTGTAGGGCAGGTCACGAGTTCTGTCTTTCATAAGGCCATGAAAACCAAAGCTCATGTTAACTGGATTTGGCAAATGCCCTTGGGGTCATTGGGAGTGAAACTTTCTATCTAGGTTTCTGCTTTCATTCCATTTTTGACCTAACAATTTCTTTATTACCAGTCAATATATTTAATAGAATTTTAAAAAAATTTCCAGGATTTTTGTTTCCAGTGTGGTCACTGAGTGAGGTAAAGAAGCTATGATATTGCCAGAAATAGAAGGCCATATTCTTTGTATTTTATTACGCAAATTTTCATTTAGGGATGTTTAAGACAAATAATACTAAACAGAAATACTTAAAATATGTAAATATTTTGCAAGCAAATGTATAGATTTTCTTTAAATTATTTTAATGTTTATTTTTTAGGGAGAGAGACAGAGAGCAAAAGAGAGAGAGACAGAGACAGAGAAAGAGATACGGAATCTGAAGCAGGCTCCAGTCTCTGAGCTCTTAGCACAGAGCCCAACACAGGGCTCAAACTCATGAACTGCAAGATCATGACCTGAGCTAATGTCAGACGCTTAACCAACTGAGCCACCCAGGCACCCCTAATATAAAATTTTAGTTGGGTGCTTATCAAACATCAGGTCAACTATTTTGTAGATGTCTATTATTTTATTATTTATTTATTTAGAGAGTGTAGGAATGCACATGTGCTTGAGTGGGGAGGGGTGGTGGGACAGAGGAGGGGGGAGGAGGAGAGAGAGAGACAAAGAGAGAGAGAGAGGGGCTGAATCCCAACCAGATTCTGTGCTATCAGAGCAGAGACCAATGTGGGGCTTGAACCCACGAACCTGAGCGGAAACCAAGAGCTGGACACTTAACCAACTGAGACACGTGGGCGCCCTGTAGATGTCTATTATTTTGCTTTTATTAAATAGAAAAATATTATTGTTTGGCAGTGCATTTAGCCTTGAACCACTAATCTGTTGGCTTAAATTCACTTCAGCTGATTTGTGAGAGTATACTATATAACATTTTCAAAAATCTCTGTGATTTAGAACAACAAATATTTATGATTTACTCTTGTTTCATGTTAGTAGCTGCAGGTCAGCTGCTGCTGTACTGCTCTAAAGGTCAGTTTCAGGTCTGCTCCATGGATTTTCTCACTCTGAGACCCTATTTGGAACACAACTTTCTCACTGCCAGGCAGCACAAGACCAAGAGACTGACCTGAATGTTGCACTCAAAAAAGCAGTTGGCATGTGTTACATCATAAACCACTCGCTAGAACAAGTTATGTGGCCAAGAATAATAACATAATCCACCAGAGTCTTCAATGGTGTATTGAATACCTTAGTCATGTTTTAGGTTGCTCTTAATCTTCTCTGAGAAAATGAGGATTTTAGTCTAAAATCCTCATTAGCAATCTTTGACAACATAAATGTCTAAATGGATAGGCTAAAGTAAAACAAAAAACAACTTCAAGCCAATCTCTCTCATTCTAGGTCAGGGTTGATCCATATTCTGTGGGAAAAATGTCAGTGCTTTAACTGATGTGGAAAAAGAACTTCTCATTCTCAGAAATGTATAATGAATTAAACACCAGACATGAGAGATTCTCATTGGAGTTAAAATTGAATAGTTATAATAAAATTGGATAATTATATTAATACATTTTATTTAAAAATGTTATTCTTAAAATCATTTTAAGAGTAGCAAACTTGCAGGGTATGTCAACATAGCTAATGGGGGTTTTAGGATATTTTTCAGTTAAAGCACAAGATCACAAATTACCATTTCTGTTTATGTTATGATTACATCAAAAATGCCAGTCTGAATGATCGTTTCCTGAAATCAGAGAATATTAGACTTGAAAGGATCTGAAAAGTATGTATTTCTCATTTGCAATGTATTGATACATCTTTTTGTGCAATTGTGAGCTATGTCAAAATCATCATTCATGTTAAGCAACTATTACTACCAACAGTCAAAATACAATTATAAGTGATATACTTACATTTGTTGTCCCATAATATCTTCACTCTCATCAAGTTGCATTTTGATTTTTTCTTTTTTTGAGAGTGGTTGATAGGAGTTATAGCTAGTCAGATAAGAATGTGTATAATCCTATTTGTTTCCAATGTGAATATCATTCACTGAGAAAAAAAGGTTGAATAACATTGTTTAAACAGCATATAGTCCAAGTCTCTACTTTTTTTTTAAAGTTTATTTATTTTGAGAGAGAGGGGAGAGAGAGAATCCCAAGCAGACTCTGAGCAATCAGCATGGAGCCCGATGCAAGGCTCCAACTCACAAACCATGAGATCATGACCTGAGCTGAAAACAAGATGAGCCAAAACCAAGAGTTGGATGCTTTAACCAACTGAGCCACCCAGACGCTTGTCCCTGCCAACTCCCTACTTTTATCAGAGCTTGATATGCAGAGAGTAATTCACCTAGTCACATATCTAATTAGCAGAGTCTATAAACCACCACCACCTTGCAACTAAGAACAGTGCTTTCCGTTCCAACAAAAGACCATTTATTTTCAACAACCAATATAAAAAATTTGGGCTGAGGCCGAAAAGGATTGTCAATGCAATTTGCCTTATTTAACTATAGTTTTAGTTCCCAAAGGAAGAGAACCAGAGAAACAGAGCACAGAGGGTATATTTTGCATGTTATCTGTGTTCCAAGAACATTCTTTTTCAAATTTCTTTGATTACAACTCACAGTAAGAAACAGTTTAAATCACAACATAGGACACCCTCTTATCTTTCTCCACAAGTGAAACAAAAATTTCACAAAGTGATTTCTTGTCCACACTAGATGTATACTCTAATCTTTATATTCTATTCCATTCTAGACTATTTTGTTAAAAAATAAAATTGATTTTTGAGTCAGTTAAAAAAAATACTGCTCCAGAAAATAGGAGACATTTCAATCTGACGCCAAACTCCACAGAGTTAGAGTCATTCACAGAATAACAAACTTCTCTCATATTTATCTGGACTACACATACAATATCTCAGACTTCAGAACAGAACCTGTAGAATCTTCTCCTCGTTGGAACACCTGTTCATTACAATATCTCATAGATTCCAAGACTCATTGTTTCCACCTTTTAACATCTCTGAATTTCAGCTGTGTCTTAAAAAAAAATAGTGGTATTGCATAGTTTAAGTGGCAGTATTTTTCTTTCTTTCTTGAGTAACATGAAAGGAGTCCTAAAGTCCATTTCTTAGTGTGTCAATGAAAAACATTAATAATAACGATTATATAAGCCAAACTCTATTGGTTATTCAAGTACCCTGGTGATCAGAATGCTTTTTGATGTCTTGTTAAGAAAACGTAATGAGGGCATAAGCAAAACCCCTTAGTTCTCGGCCAGAAGGAAAAATGACTTACAAACTGAGAAAACTTTCTCGTGTGCTTTCATGGTTAGCAGGGGTTTGATTATGATCTTTCTGCTTTCCTACATTCCTCGTTTCTCTATCGTTGCTTTCTTTCCTCTGGAGATTGGCATTTTATTCTTTTCATCACCAGGGTTGGGCAGGGAGAGTTCCTCGCACCTTGGTTTAAAAGGAAAGCAAAAGTTTATGTCCAAAAATCAGGTACTTAAAAAAGATTAGGCTTCATTTTAAAAATGCAATGAATTGCCAAATCCTGTGGGTCTGTTTAAACTGTCACCAACCTAACATATTGTAAGACTTAATGACTGCAGAACTGGCACGAAGGATGCTGAACCTGACTAGGAACAAAAATAAGTTTGCTAGGCTATTTTCATCCCAGCGTGATTGAGACGCACCATCCTTTCCTCAAAAAAAAAAAAAAAGAAAAAAAAAACCCCAAAAACTCTAATGAGGAAAACAGTAAATTAAATGCTACAATTAACGTGCTACTGGAAATAGGAACAATTAGTTACTGCTTTTCAAGACAGACACCACGGTGCCTTCTTCCTTTGTTTGGCCAAAACTTTAGTCAAGCAGAGGCTAGGGAGGCGGGTCTCAAGCTCTGGCCTCCCGGGCCTCCGAGTGGGCGTGGGGTCCTGGGCCAATACCAGTGAGCTCTATTGTGCAGTATCCTCAGATTAGGCAGGGCCCTGTGAGACCGGTCCAGACCACGCCTCAGTAGGTCACAGGCGTGGAGCGGGCGGCGGTGGGCTCGAATCCCGAAGCCGCCCTCGGGTGTGCGGAGGCAACTCGAGCGCGATAAGACTGGTAGAACAAGGTGTTGACAGTTGTTCCCGCGCGACTCCCTCCTGGCCTGCAGAGGAGGCGTCTCCGCGGCCGCCTCCGCGCGCCGTCACGTGACGGGAAAAAGGGGCGGGGGGGTTGGCGGCTCGAAGAGCCCGCGAGCTGGGGGCGGGGCCTGGAGGGGGAGGGCGCCCGAATGTAAAGGATCTTGGCGGCTGTGGGTGCTTGGAGAGGCGGCGACGCGGCGGATGACAACATTTGCCCGCGACGCGTTTCGGATCGGGCGGTGGTGGGAACGGTAGCCGGAGCGGCTGCAGCGTTAGCTTTCGCCGCGGCAACAGGCTCAGCCAGTAGCGGGCAGACGGAGGGAAAGTGGAGCCAGCCCTGGTCGGGGGACCGCGGGCCCGGGGTTCCCGCCCTCCTCGCGGGTTGAGCCGGCGGAGCCTCGGCGGCCTCGAGCCAGCGCCCTCGGTCTGAGCTCGCGCCCTAGCTGCCGCCGGCGACAGCAGCCGAGAGAAGTTGGGGTCCACCCGGGCGCGTGCAGGGCCCCGGAGGAACCGGCCCCCTGCTCCCCGCCTATCCGGGGGCTCCGCACCGGTGAGTGTCATACCGGTCCCTGAGTCGGGGGGCGGTGGGTCCGCACCCGTCTGGGAGACTGCACCCCCTTATCCCCACGTTCTGAGCTCGGGCCAGCGGGGACTCCCCGCGCCCGAGAGTTCCTCTTTGCCTCCTTTGTCCCCTTTCGGAATGGGAGATTCCAGAGGCTGGCGGGGGTGGAATATTTTGGGGCCCGCAGGACGTGCGTCTGCAACCCTTACAATAGCCGCGGCAGGGGCGAGGGGGCTGGTGAGAGCATTTTGACCGCTCTGAGTGACTCTTCCCGAAGTTTGGGCGGACCTCGGGGTCTCGCCGGAAGCCCCCGCCCCGAGGGGAGCTGGCGCTTTGTCACTTGGTGCGGTTAAGGCGAGGCTTCGGTTTTCCTGTGACAGCCCTAGAGGAGGCTGTGCCGCGCACCGCAGACCGCACCCGCCCTTGCAGAGCCCAGTGACACGGTGTTGTTCCTCTAAACTCAGTTCCTGTGGCCTCCTGGTAACGTAGGAGGAAGGCGAAGCCTTTGCCATACTTTTAAATGTATTGTTTGTTTCTAAGCCTTTTCTCGAGTGGAATCCAGTTCTCAGGAGCTTCACACGGAGCATGCTTCTGGTTCATTGAGCCACCCACTCATGACCAGCTGAGTGAAGCAACAGTATGTGCAGATTTTCCATTCACAAAAGTCATTTAACATTCTTCTTTATGAAAGACATCTGCGTTAGGGAACGTGCCTCATTTCATTTTATCTAAATGCTGCCTGAAATAATAGATAACTTGGGCTCCCACTTAAACAGATGAGACAACTTCTCAAACTTATGGTGTAAGCATATATTTGTGTTCAGTAGTTTAATGAAGTTTTTGCCTTTCTAATGCTAGAGGACTTAAATGACTTCTAATTAGAGTGTCCTCTGTATGGTAGGGTTATTAGTTTTTATTTACACCCCCTGAAATTTAGCCTCAGACTAGTGCCACTTTAGGTCTTTTCAGATAATCATTTAAAACAGATTGTTTTTTTTAAATCATTATTTATTTTTGACTCCTTAGGATTCCAAGGAAAGCAAGGATTGCAGAGAGACATGGGTGAATTGCCTGTTAGGGTTTCTTCATTCCATCAGATGTTATCTAAAGTTGATCATGCCGAGAGTCTATGGTCAATTTTTATGCTTACTAGATAGAACCTGTTTTACAGTGAAATTAAGGTCATGCTAGTTTTATAGAACAGGTTGGGGAAGGGAGAGTTAAGAGTATGCAGTTCGTCCTTTGTAGGAAATATATTTGACTTTACATATTTGTTGCCCCTTTTTTGATAGTAACTGTGTACGGGATGACTACAGTGTGCCTGTTCAAAGTACTGGGAAAGGGAATAGATGAAACATAAGAACTACCTTTTAGGTCTTTAATTATGGAGATTAGGTTGTTGCGGTCAAATTCCATGCGAACCATTTGAGCCACAATACATTGTACACAGCTGCTTAGAAATGGTTTAGTTAAAAATGACCATGGTTTATTTCTTTCTTGTTGAACGTTAGTGTGATATCTGTGATACGGGAAAGGTACTGCTGTCCTTTTTCAGTTAGAATATTGTTACATTTTGGAAGCAATCAAATGTGTTTCTTACGGCATATTTATGGCACTTATAAATTTGGCCTTGTTAAAGAACAAATTGCAGAATTTCTTTAGTAAGTACTCCTAGTACATTTAAACTTGTTTTGGTTTATAAATAATCCTTCAAGAATAGGTCCCTTACAGCATGAGTGACAAAATAGGAATTGATCCTTAGATGTGGTTTTCAAATTTTGTGGAAAATTCTTGTGCTAATAGCAACACCTGAAGTATTATATTTGAATATTTATAATACCCAAAGTGAGCACATTTAGAACAATGATCTTGGAGCATCAGGGGTTCAAAAGTAGAAAGCGTAAGTCCTACTTGTACCTTGTGAATATGATGTACATGTAATCCAGAAATACAAATTGAATTGAAAAGCTTCTCAGTACTGCATAATGAAAGTGGCTGGGTGCAGGGAGATTGGTGGAGATGCTTGTTTGGAGCAGTTGTAGCTAAAGTATCATTTTCTTGTAGATAGGACTCAGGAAGAGATGTCTGGATTTATGTGTACACGTACATTTCACATCCATTTGTGGGAAACCTTTGAGAGATTTTAGATCCGGCCTTCTATCTTGGTTCTCCACTCCCTCATATTGTTTCGAAGGCATGAAGTTGAAGGTCTGATCTGAGAGACCTTCCAGAATATTTCCTCCGTGAAAAGTTTTTATCAAGTATGCAAGGGAGAAAGCTTTCTTCAGAGGCCTTGTAGGAAAGGAATCCTTGCCCTAGATCATACTCTTACACCCCATGTTATTTTTACCTATTTGAAAGTTGCAAACCATGTAAAACATCTATGATAGCAAGGACCAGTCTTTTTTGCTCACCATCGACTCTCCAAATGCTTAGTAGTTATTGAATGAAAGCATACAGTTCCAGATATACGACAGGAGAATGAAGAGGAGTGTGTGATAATGTAGTCTGAAATAGATACAAGGAGTGTGGTGTTAAGGATGTTGGATTGGGAGGAACAGAGCCGGTCAAAACTGGGAAACTTTCTTGGAGGAGGTAATTCTTGAGTTAGGTTTGGCAGAAAGTTGTATAACTGAAGATAAGCAGGTGTTTTAAGGGAGTAGACCACATGAACCAAAGCATTTTGAATTGGACTGGATAATCATGGGATTAAGCACAGTGAGCCTTCTTTGGTAACATTATGAATAATTTTTACTTTTCCCCTTACAACTGTTCTCTCTCCCAGATAAAGAGTGGTACACTCTAGAAGAACTAAGATTTAGAGTACTTGAGTTTTGGAAGTAACAGTGGTTTACTGAAAGCAAGAGCATTGAACTAGGGGATTCAGAAGATTTGAAATGGATTTCTGATTATATCTTATACAAGTAAGTGCCTTTGGGCAAATCATTGAGCCTTAGTTATCTCATTTGTAAGAGGAAGATAATAATCCTTATTTCATATGGTTGTTGGGAGAATGAAGTTACATCTGTATATGGAAGTGCCTACTTCAATATCTAAGACATGGGAGAACTTTAATTGTTTAAAATGGATCGATCTTTGTCTTTAAATTATTAAATATTTTGGTGTATTTATCATTAACTCTAGTATCTACTTGATCTTGAGTTGGCCCTTTAAATTACCTTTAAATTTATAAGTATCAAAATTTTAGATGCTTAGTTTTCTTTCAATCAAGCATAACGTATTCTGACAAAAATGAGGCTTAATTGTATTACTTTAATGTTACAGACCAGAAAACATGCTAGGTACCTTAAATTTCTACAGCTTTAAGTAAGGAATATGTGTGGCTGAAAATCTGAGCCTTTAGGCTTTTCTTCTTTATAGAATTTGTTTTTGAAGAAATAGCCCATGCCTGTCATGTATTCACTGTTGTAAAGACATAGGGGATTTTCCTGCTATTAAGGGGAAAAAAATTACCCAAAACATCTCTATATGTTTTTGGTGATTTGAATGACTATAAACCATGGCGGATCTCTATCTGGGTGCTTTCTTTTAGAATTCAGTATTTTTTCAGTAGACTAATGGACTTCTGCATCATTTCTTATCTACGTTTTTTTTGCTGTGGAAGCTTTTCTGTGATTAATCTCAATTTTTCATTATACTTCGTGAACTCTTTATAGTGTTTATAATCCATGGAGCAGTCTGCCCTTTGTATACTATTTGGAAGGGGATTTTATTATTAAATAAAAACTTTAAAAAAGTCTGGGGTTTTGAAATGATAAAGAAGCCAGTTACCTGTCACTTTCCATATTCATGAACCACTGAAAAAAGGAGGAAATGATTTTGGGGTGGGAGACTCTTTTCACATAAAAAGGAGAAACTTTTTGATTTAGGGTTGTTAAAAACATGATAGAGTCAGAAGGAGATTGTTAGAGCTCCTGAAGGTAGCTTAGAAAGTGTTGTTGGTAATAATAGCAGCAAATATGTGTTGATTACTATGTACCAGTTACTACTTCAAAATATTTGCCATGTTGGTGTGCCTGAGTCAGTTGAGTGTCCAACTTTGGTTCAGGTCATGATCCCACAGTTCGTGAGTTAGAGCCCTAGGAGTTAGGCTTGCTGCTGCTGTCAGCGCAGAGTCTGCTTTGAATCCTCTGTCCCCTTCTCTCTCTGCCCCTTTCCCACTCACACTTTTCTCTCTCTCTTTCTAAAATAAATAAAACATTAAAACAAAAGTATTTGCCATGTTATCACATTTAATCCTCGCAATGACTCCTGCCCATCAGACTTTTTTTTTTTTTTCTTTGTTAAACCTCGGACACTGAGAGATTACTTGGTAGATAGTGGAGCCAGAATTTAAACTAAACCTGAGTCAGAGGGAGGCTAAGTTGCAGGTGGTTGAGCCTACCAAAAAGATTTGAACTAGAACTTTAACCTGAGCTTCTATTTTAGAGCCTGTCCTTTTAACCACCACATTATACTGCCT